AAAAAGCCCAGGACCAGATGGTTTCAGCGCAGAATTCTATCAGACCTTCAAAGAAGAGCTAACTCCAGTTCTCTTCAAACTATTCCACAAAATAGAAACAGAAGGAACATTACCAAACTCATTCTATGAAGCCACAGTCACCTTGGTACCTAAACCTCACAAAGACCCAACAAAGAAAGAGAATTTCAGGTCAATATCCCTCATGAACATTGATGCAAAAATACTCAACAAAATACTTGCAAACTGAATACAAGAACACATCAAAGATATCATCCACTACGACCAAGTAGGCTTCATCCCAGGTATGCACGAGTGGTTCAATATACTGAAATCCATCAATGTGATCCACCATATTAACAAACTGAAAGAAAGAAACCACATGATAATCTCCTTAGATGCTGAAAAAGCATTTGACAAAATCCAACATCCATTCATGTTTAAAGTATTGGAGAGATCAGGGATACAAGGCACATATCTAAACATAGTAAAGGCAATATACAGCAAGCCTATAGCCAACATCAAACTGAATGGAGAGAAACTTAAATCAATCCCACTGAAATCAGGGACAAGGCAAGGCTGGCCACTCTCTCCATATCTCTTCAACATAGTTCTGGAAGTCCTTGCTAGAGCAATAAGACAGTTGAAGGAGATCAAGGGGATACAAATTGGAAAGGAAGAAGTCAAATTATCACTATTTGCAGATGATATGATAGTATACCTGAGTGACCCCAAAAATTCTACCAGGGAACTCCTTCAGCTGATAAACACCTTCATCAAAGTGGCCAGATACAATATTAAGTCAAAAAAATCAGTATCCCTCCTATACACAAAAGACAAAAGGGCTGAGGAAAGAAATTAAGGAAACAATACACTTCACAATAGCCACAAATGACATAAAGTACCGTGGTGTAACCTTAACCAAGCAACTCAAAGACTTGCATGAAAATTTTCAAGTCTCTGAAGAAAGAATTAGAGGAAGATATGAGAAGATGGAAAGATCTCCCATGCTCATGGCTTGGCAGGATTAACATAGTAAAAATGGCCATCTTACCAAAAGCAACCTACAGATTCAATGCGATTCCCATCAAATTACCAACACAATTCTTTACAGACCTGGAAAGAAAAATTTCCAACTTCATATGGATTAACAAGAAACCGAGAATTGCTAAAACAGTCCTCTACAATAAAAGATCTTCTGGAGGTATCTCCATCCCTGATCTTAAGCTGTACTATAGAGCAACAGTAATAAAAACTGCATGGTACTGGCATAGAAACAGAATGGTGGATCAATGGAACCGAACAGCAGACCCAGAAATAAACCCACACTCTTATGGACACCTGATCTTTGACAAAGATGCCAAAACTATACAATGGAAAAAAGATAGCATCTTCAACAAATGGTGTTGGTCTAACTGGATATCTACATGTAGAAAAATGCAAATAGATCCATACTTATCATCCTGCACGAAACTAAAGTCCAAGTGGATCAAAGACCTCAACATAAAAGCAGACACATTAAATCAGTTAGAAGAAAAAGTGGGGAAGACCCTAGAACTCATTGGTACAGGAGACAACTCTTGAACAGAACACCAACAGCATAGGCTCTAAGCGCAACAATCAATAAATGGGACCTCATGAAACTGAAAAGCTTCTGTAAAGCAAAGGACACTGTCCTCAGAACAAAACGAATGTCTACAGATTGGGAAAGAATCTTCACCAACCCTTTATCTGACAGAGGGCAATATGCAGTATATATAAAGAACTAAAGAAGCTGAAAAGCAGCAAACAAAGTAATCCAATTAAAAAATGGGGCACAGAGCTAAACAGAGAATTCTCTGTAGAGGAATATCAAATGGCAGAGAAACACTTAAAAGAAATGCTTAACCTCATCAGTCATCAGGGAAATGCAAATCAAAACGACCCTGAGATTTCACCTTACACGCATCAGAATGGCTAAGATCAAAAACTCAAGAGACAACACATATGCTCGAGACGTTGTGGAGAAAGGGGAACCCTCCTCCACTGCTGGTGGGAATGTAAACTGGTACAACCACTCTGGAAATCAATCTCAGACCACTAGGAATAGTGGTTCCTCAAGATCCAGCCATACCACTCCTAGGCATATATCCAAAAGAGGCTCAAGTACACAATAAGGACATTTGCTTAACCATGTTTGTAGCAGCTTTATTTGTAATAGCCAGAAGCTGGAAACAGCCCAGATGCCTCTCAACTGAAGAATGGATATGGAAATTGTGGTACATCTAAACAGTGGAATATTACTCAGCAATTAAAAATAATGAAATTTGCAGGTAAATGGTGGGAACTGGAAAGGATCATCCTGAGTGAGCTGTCCCAGAAACAGAAAGACACACACTCATATAGACTTATAATATAGGACAAACCTACTAAAATCTGTACATCTAAAGAAGCTAAGCAAGAGGGAGGGTTGCGACTAAAATGTTCAATCCCCATCCCGAAAGGAAAAGAGGATGAACATCAGAAGAAGAAGAAAAGAGGAAACAAGTTAGGAACCTGCCACAGAGGACCTATGAAACACTCTGCCCTGCTGACTATCAAAGCAGATGCTCAGACTTGTGGACAACTGATGGGCAGAGTGCATGGAATTTTATGAAAGAAGAGGGAAATAGTAAGAGCTGGAGGGGATGGGAACTCCACAAGGAGAGCAACAGTACCAGAAAATTTGAACACAGGGGTCTTCCCAGAGACTCATACTCCAACCAAGTACCATGCATGGAGATAACCTAGAACCCCTGCACAGATGTAGCCCATGGCAGTTCAGTGTCCAAGTGGGTTCCATAGTAATGGGAAGAGGGACTGCTTCTGATATGAACTGATTGGCCTGCTCTTTGATCACCTCCCCCTGAGGGGGGAGCAGCCTTACCAGGCCACAGAAGATGATGGTGTAGCCACTCGTGATGAGGTCTGATAGACTAAGATCAGAAGGAAGGAAAGGGGGACCTCCCCTATCAGTGGGCTTGGGGTGGGGCATGCGTGAAGAAGGGGGAAGGAAGGTAAGATTAGGAAGGGAGGAGAGAGGGGCTTATGGGGGGATACAAAGTGAATAAAGTGTAATTAATGAAAAAAAAAGAAAAATAAATAAATAAATAAATAAATAAATAAATAAATAAATAAAATGAAAACCAGTATGTGGTGGGTAAACATTGGCATTAGCCTTATAAAAATCCTGGTTTGGTGATATGGATTGTTGGTTAACTTGCTATTCTTGCAAGTTCAGTTCCCAGATCCCATATAGAAACTCGCCAACATCTTTGGGAAAAAAAAAAAAAAAAAGTCGACACATGCTATTTCATCAAATTAATAGGCTCTTATGCAGCAAAAATAATTGACAGGGATAAAAGATGTCATGCAAAATGGGAGAAAATCTCAGTAAGAGAAGGAACTACAAAAATATTAGCAAGGGTGTGTGTTACCTACTTTATAAATGGGCAACAAGTCTAAGCAGACATTTTTCAGAAACGGCCAACAGAAATATTGAAGTAAAATTAAAAATTGCTCAAAGATAGCACTTCTCTACAGTAGAGCTTGTGATCATCAAAACAATAGAAATAATAAAGGAACTGGAGATTAGATTAAAAGAAATAGGCCAGGTCCAGAAAGACAAGTGGGTGGAGGCAGAAATTGAAACCAGTGACCAGCAATCAGGCACACTGGCAGGGCCTCCACAGTGAGGTAAGACTGAGAAGTGGGGACTCCAGAGGAAGGTGTGTGCAGAAAGAAGAGAAGGCTAGACTTGCCTTTCAAAGAGCTGAAAGGAATTTGAGTTTTTACCGTGAAGAAAGGAGTACTATTGGAGGTGAATATTCCTAGCTTGGGCGTTATGAGGTGCGGTTGTCTGTACAGCCAAAGCAGAGTAGACCACAGCAAGTGTCACTTTATAATGCTATGTGACACCAAAAATAAATTAACACGCATCAGTCTCCATTGTTGACAACCTATGGCTTCCAGTTTCCTTAGCTGTGAGACCTGCTGCTGCCTGTGGCGAGCGGCAACCATGCTCTGCAGCTTCTCTCCCTTCCCACGCCCTGGGGGCAGTTACTGGGTTCTCTCTAATCTAGCATCTATTCAGGAGCTGCCGTGCTCACTGGGCCCCGCCTTCAACAGCCCACAGGAGGGACTGCCCTTCTGTTGTGGGCTGCTGCTGCTCTCTTCTCCCAGCTGCTCTTGCACAGAGTGCTAGGTGTTACTAAAAGATATTTCACCTAAATCTGTCTCAGTTACCTCTCTGATCAAACTGAAAAAAAAAAAAAATCTTTAATATTTAAAAGAAGAGCCTCAACGGCCCAGTAGAATCATGTCTGCCGAAACAGGCATTTTTCTAATGCGAGTAACAGTATTCCCGAAAGTTCTTTAGCATAGGTGTAGAGAGAGGGCTCACTAATAAGATCACGGTTCTGGGACCTTTATTTGAATCTGATTTTGAAGGCATCTGAAGTTTCATAAGGGTATTTTTAAGGTGCTCTGAAAGAGTCATTGTGTGTTTGGCCAAAGTGCCAGAGGTGAAGCAGTTTGAGAGTAGGAGCAGATTCTGAGCCCAAGCTCACCGGAGGGCTCTGGGGATGCTGGGACAGCAGGGAGAAGAGCAGGGCGGGGAGGTTCTAGTCTGACCTTGGAACGACTCACTGTGCTTTCAGTAGAGTAAGGAATGTTTAAACCACACGTTCTGTCTTAAGACAGAATTTGGGAGCACTTGCGTGCGTGCGTGCGTGCGTGCGTGCACGTGAGTGCCTGTGTGCGCGGGTGCGTGCACGGATGTGTGTGTGTGTGTGTGTGTATTTCCATATGTGTATGTTTTAAAGGCTTCCATTTTCATTATTTTCTAGGTTGAATTTGGCTTTTGAAATTTTCTTTGTTCTAACCAAACATGTTGATTCCTAGATTGGATCATTCCCTTAATCCTAGATTACATGTTCTCCACAATACCACAGAATCATAGTTGAGCATAGGCAGCTCAGACTCACCATCAGGACCTGCGGTGTTCTCTGTGTTGCCGGAACCTTGGCTTTCTGCAAACACGGCAGGTGCATCCTCACCTCGAGCTGAAGAAAGGAAAGCAGAGAGCCCTGATTAGACAATCAGTGCAGCTCTGCTGCCAGTCTGCACGCACCCTCGACTGTCCTCGGAAACCTAAAAACACTCGGGAAATTTAACTTTTGCAAGTTGGTTACAGGAGGAAGTCGTGGGTTGAGATACTTGAATACTCGGGGCTGTCTCGTCTCCTAAGTTCTCTTTAACTTGTGAGATAATCATACACATACACAGAGTTTCCCAAATTAGAAATCTAGTAGAATAAGAGAAAGAATGTGCTTTAATCAATATAACATTCCCTTTAAATTTAGGGAGGGAGGAAGAGGGAGTAAGTGAGGAGGGAGGAGAGAGTGGGGAGGGCAGCAGAGGGGAGAGGGCAGGTGAAAGAGGAGAGGGAACTGAAGGAGGGAAGGAGAGAGAGGAGAAGAGATGGAGGGAGAAAGGGAGAGAGGGAGCTGAGGATGGGGGGGAGAAGAGAAGAGACTTTTAAGAACATGAAGGGAAAACCAAAAACCCTCTGTTCTCGCCTTAGGCAAACCTGAAAGCTGAAAGTTCCCTTTTCCTCACAGGGAGAATGTTCCTGTTCAATTATAGGTGAGCCACGCTGCCTTGCTAGACCTCCTAAGACACCGCCACACTGGAGTGCTGAGTTTCTGCCTGCTGCTGGGCTGGGTTGTGGTCTGTTTCTACATGACCCTTAGAAAGAAGGCCATCCATTCATTGTGGTTCAGGTTATACCACCAAAAAAAAAAAAAAAAAACAACAACAACAACAAACGAACAGGGTTTCTCTGTGTTGCCCTGACCGTCCTGGAACTCACTCTGTAAAACAGTCTGGCCTCCAACTCAGACATCCCCTTGCCTCTGCTGCCTAGAGCTTCAGGTGTGGGCCACCACACCCGACTTACAGGACATTCTTAACTGTTGCAGGGAGAGGTTTGTTCACATTTCCAAACATTCAGGACAAATAACTCTCAAAGCTTAAATACCTAGTATGTTTTTCTCACGTGAAGAACAAGGGCATTTATAAATTAGGTTAAAATGCTATAAATATGAATATGTGACGATCTCACTTCTGTACATTTTAAAAAGAAGATGAAATCATTTTACAGGAGGGCTTCCTGAGAGAAGGGTATATTCAACTCAGTGTGCCAGAAGGGGGATGAAACAAGAGGGGACAGCTCCCATTTATATTCCTTTCTGAGGGAAAGGCTTTTGAAAGTACAGTCTGAGCTCTCAGCAGCCATTTACTGACATTGATGGTAGAGAAATACAGCTTAGACACAACCAGCATGTAGCATGGGAGGACAGAGCTTGAAGACATAAAGACAGGTGGAGGGGAGTAAAGGAAGGAAGAAAGTCATTTTAAGGTTTGAGGTGTGAGTTAAGGCTCACTAAACTGAAAATGCTGACCAGGCTTTTACGTTGGGTGTAGGAAGGAGAGTGTGAAATAGACAGGAGACATTAGGGAGATGCCATTCGGATAAAACTATGATACAAGATTAGATGAGCTGGCATAGGAAAAGGCTAACAAGAAAAGAAACTGCGTGAAGACCAACTGTCCTGGACCACTGCTGCTTCTAGGAATGCCTGAGGATGAGAGTGGGACGTGGAAAGCAGACCTGAACTTCAGCTGGACTGGTCACTATCATGTCACACTTTATTGGAACGTCCAGAAAGTTTAGTACTTTGCGTTTGCCCGTTAACACACTACTTACACTTCAGTGCAGAAGAAAGCAGTGATGCATCCCTTAAGGTGGGAGCATGAGATGTTTGACACGTGAGACTAAATGCATAGCATAAATGAAAACTAAAAACATTTGATTTCAGAAACAACATGCTTTGGGGTGGAGCTTACAAGTATTTTGAAAGGAAAGATACTTGCATTGTGTCATAGGCAATTAATAATATTAAAAGATTTAAATAACTTCTAACAATAGAAATGTAGGCCAAAAGTCCAATAGGAAAAAATTGCAAGAGATTTGAGAGTTCATAAAGTAAGAAATGACGTCCTACATTCAAGTGAAAAGATGACTCAATTTTATAATTATGAAAAAAATGCAGATTAAGATGGTAATGAGACAGGCTCTGAGCCTGAGGTTGGCTAAAGTGCTGCACACTAACCCTTTACCAAGAACCTGGAGAAGTACTGGACAGACTGTAGCTCAGACTCCATGATAAATAGAAGAATGAGCTGGCATTCCAGTACCAACGACAGAACAGGCACTCCCGTATCTTTAAGGACTGATCGAAGGCAAAATATAAGTGGTCAGGGCCCACCAAGGAAGAAATACCCTTGCTATGTACCTCAGGTTTTCTGTAGGTTTGACACAAGTCAACTGTGAAGTACAAACAAGTATAAGGTTAGGAATCTGGCTAAGCAGTAGAGCACTTGCCGAGAATGTGTGGGTGCATGGGTTTAACTCCCAGAACACACACACACACACACACACACACACACACACACACACACACACACAC